ATCAGGGTTTATTATACACTATATACAGGGAAACTTTCAAAGCGTTTACTCATTCGTGTCCCGAATTAGAAGTGGGGATACTTTTGCATCCTACTGTATATTCGCAAAACCAATGAATGGAAATTTTCATGGGTTTACACCCTTCACATGGTACTCGGCGTAGGTAAAATTGGCCAATACGGCATTGGACGAATTATTCGTCTATGCAATATGGATAATCTTCTTTCTATAAAGGACAAGCTGGCTGCCTCCAGTTCAAAACGTAAGAAGAAACAGGCCTTGCGACTTGACAGGGCAATCTTCCAGATGCGACGAAAAATCAAACACCTGCAAAGCGAAAAGAGTGTCGCATTTTTTACTCGCGAATTTGATGCCATTATCATCCCTCCTTTTGAGGTGTCGAACATGATAAATCGAAAACAAAAAGGGTAACAGTAACACGAAAAACCGTTCGCAAAATGTTCTGTTCAAAAAATAGGAACTGTAATGGATCGAGATGAAAATGGCGCTCGGGGAATCTTCCTCCGAGCATTGCTTGATGGAGCCTTGATTCTCTCCGGAGAAATAGTAGAAATGCCTACCACTACTATCGATATGTTACGATTTGTTGCTGGCATGTTAATGTGACAAACACTTACGTATAAATTTATCATTATTATTATTATGCTGACTATCGCTAACTCTACTAAGCAGGCGAAGCAGAAGTTATGCAATAGTAACCTGTCTGCTGATGAAACTACTACCTTGATCAGTAAAAGTTGTATCAATCCTGCATTCGACAATAAGAGAATTTATACTCCTATTGGGAAGAGCGAAGGATATGTGCTAATTCTGCAAATAGAATAATGTAAGATTATTTGGCGCTAGCTTTACACAGGCCGCAGTTTTCCAAGATCAAAAATCTTGTGACAGATCGTGTGACTAAGACTACGAATATACGACGTCGACATCAAATTTTGACAATCTTCAACTTTTTAACTTTCCATCCGTCCCTCTTTCCAATCCTTTAGTAGAGTCTTTGCGTTCGAGCACTTGGGAATTTGTCGATAATTTAAGAATTTACAACAGCAAGTAGGCATCAAATAACAATTGACTTATTTTTTTTTTAATTCATGTATCAGATTAATATTATCTCGTGGCAATAGTTTTTAATATGGAGTCAGTCAACGCTATGTATCATTCTTATCGAACCATAGTTTTACAGTTCTATCTTTTTCGATTGCTCCTGTGGCGATTATGTTTTTGGTTGGATGACACGCAACAGCTAAAACAACATCTAAATACAAATCGCCATTATACACAATTAGTGTATTGGAGGAAACGAGTATTTTGATAAGCGAAGCAATAGAAGCAAGAGGCAATATATCAGACATACGTATATAATAATGTGTTTACACGGTGAAACCAACAGTTGACAAACAAACAGATATTCCTTACCTGAGTGTCCTTCCAACTTCTGCACAATCTGTTTGCTCTGTAAATCCCAGATATACACTCCATGATCCTCGCTACCACTGACAATCCACTTTCTGCCAGTTACCGAGAAACTAGCGAAGATGCAGTATTTATCGTTCTTATGGCCAGTATATGTCTTTAGACATTTACCAGTATGGTAATTCCACAGGCGAAGCGTGTTATCGAGCGTGGATGCCAGGATGTATTTGCCATTTGGAGAAAATTTGACGAACGAGCTGTTGCAGAGATGATTGAATAAGAGAGGACAAAACACTTAGTACCATTTCAACATCAGATAACGCGAATGTGAGGAATACATATCGAACTTACACGGGAGGATTATCATCATCTACCAATGTTTTTAAGCATTGGCCAGTTGCCGTATCCCATATGCGTCTACAAGAAGATACTTGTTAGAAGAGATCGAATTCAAAGGAATCATAAATATTCAACCTACATCAATCCATCATAGCTGCAAGACACAATCATGGTCCCATCTCTATTGAAATGCACTCCCGTGACAGGATCAGAATGTGCAGGTAACGTTTTCATACATTTACCTAGAGATGGAATTAGTAATTGAAAGTGAGCATGATAATATATTGTAACATATATTCCAAGAATACCAACCTTGCCGTACGTCCCATATTCTTATACTTTCGTCAAAAGAACCAGATACGATTAAACTCGATTGGGGATTATAATTCACACAGAACACGTAATTTGTGTGTCCTCTCAGTACATGGGCGACTTTTCCCTATTCATCCCATGAAAAAAAACATATCAGATATCAACCCGGTCTGTTTCGCTGTTTTTTCATTACAAGCTCAATCAATTACTTACAATATTTGCATCCCATATTCGTATTGTTTTATCATCTGAAGCGGAAGTCAAGTATTGCGAATCAGAGGACCATGCTACGTCTGAAATACCTTGACCGTGACCCTCAAGTGTTTGCACGAATTTGCCATCTAGAGCATTCCATATCTTGATTGTTTTATCAGCGGCTGTACGAAGTGGATAGTGAGAATTGGAGAAACGTTTAATATGGAAAAGGGAAAAGAATGGAAGCGCCAATGAATCGTTGGAGTAATACAAGTAAGTAATACGTAAAGATCAGGTTGAGAGTATTAATTTGTAGCCGAGTAAATTTCCTTGTCGACTTGATTCCCTTGGACTATGTATAGCTCTCTCACGTTTCTTTCGAGAGTCCTCCTTCTGGTGAGGGGAAGCTGATACTCACAACTACTAGCTAGCCATTTCCCATCAGGAGAGAACTTAACGCTAGAAACGGCCTTTTTATGTCCCACTAGACTATATCTTAACTCGTAGTTAGATTTTTGCTGAATAGTTGTCAAGCTATTTGTCGACGAACTCGTAGTTGCTGGTTGCTGTGCTCGGCCGACGACTGAGCCGTCGTCGGCTTTTAGTTTCTTTGTCGCAGGTTGGTCAAAGCTGGGCCCAGTTATTGGCCTATCGTGGTCTATTATCATTGTATTAGTCGCCATTGATAAGTGATTAAAGCTAGAGTTGGTAGAAAGGAAAATTTTTTGCAGTAATAGTAACATATCTATGTTGCACAAGGGTAAAATTTTTGTCACATGGTATTGGTGTATACTACCGGACATTCAATAGATGTCACTGGCGAATGGGAACGGGAATTCTCAACAAAGTGCAGTATATGAATCTTGATTTACGCGTGGCGAGGAAAATTTATTTAAATTAATTTGTAAACAACATTACATTTAGAAATACTCTGTCAACATGTCAATTCTCCTTCTCTACTATTTTCCGTTAACTTTGCGCCACTGGGTCTGCACTCCCATGATGGACGTAATAAATCCAGCAAGACCCACGAGTCCATCATCCAGGTCGATATATTTGAGTGATTTCATTGGAAGGATAAGATCTAAACTATCCTGGACGAGCTGACGAACAACTGGCTCACGTTCTCTGCAAAAAGGATATCATATCAGTTTGGTTCAATATAAACGTTCGTCGCATAATCATCGCATAATCATCGCATAATCATCGCATAATCAAGAAAGCTTACTTTTCGATATCCTTGCATCGTGACTTGACATACTCGGGATCGCCAACTCCCTTCTCAGATCCTTTCAACGAAGCCCTTAGATTCTTATAACGAAGACTGATTCCATACAGTTTATACAAACTGCTGAGGATGGAAAAGATCAAACCAGCCATCCAAAACCTCATTGATCTCTCCGCAATCGTTTTTATTTGCTTAATTTTGTATACACCCGCTCCATTAATCTATATTTGAGGTATATAATACGAAACATAGATCGAATTAGAATAAGTGAGAAAGAATAATAGAGACACACCTATTGACCGGATACGAAATGCGTATATTTTTTTGAAATAAGCAAGTCTTATGTAATGTCTGGGTACAGAATATGCGTAATCCGGTTCAGAAACATAACGTGAAATACTAAGCAATATTTAATTTTCTTACCCAAACAAATGTGTCCAGGAGCAAGTATGCTGCATAACTGAGCTGTCTAAAAGTAGATGTGAACCTCAAGACTTCATCCTTCTCATGCCACGCCTTGGATGCAGACTGTAGATGCTCCACAGGTTTACCGAAGCGCATGACTGGCAAATGGAAGGAGTTTCATATCAATCATTAAATAAATCAAAGTCGGGCAATTTAAGATAAAAAATTTGATGTGTGTCTGAATTTAGGTTTGTTAATTATAGATCTAATTGTCTGCTGCCACATTAAAATAAAACAACTGTTGTCTATGAGCGATAGTCGAGCTTACGTTTCCTAGATAAACTCATGTTCTTTTTCAACGCTTCCCATCGTTGGATAGTTGCTTTGGAGAATCCTTGACGAAGCAGATACCAAGCCATAAACCGTGCAAAGTTTTGGACAGCTCTGTATACTTTATCACGACCAACTGTAGTGCTGGCATATTTTAGTGAAGAATTCACCATCGGATGTTGAAGCGTCTCGATAACCATTGTCATTTGTCTGTCTGGCAGTAAGAGTTGTGTGAAAATTGTCAAAAAATCAAAAGCAGTCTCAATTATGACGTCATTATGTTGCTATTTAATTTGTCGTACAAAGCGAATCAAATACGTGATTATATGCCGAAGATTTCGATAATCCCCATCAAATTTTGACTCTAAAATCGGCCGTTTTCGGAATCGGCGAGATATTCCTTTCTTTCCACAGTGAAACTCGATATAACGGATATCGCTTAGTACGGAGATTTTTCACGGAACCAATCCAAAACTAATAAAAATTGTCTCGATATACCGGATTTTATTAGTAAAAATATTAATATGCTCGTTATAGCGGATATCACGTGAAATAGAGTTATAACGAGTCCGTAATAGTAATAAAAAAATCCGACCAGCCAATCAAATTGTACCAAATTAATTGATTTATTCGCGTGTAAACCTTTTCTCCAAATGAACGAAATCAAACCATGAGACCCAAATATCTAACAATCCAAAGCGAACTACTTTATCAAGCGTACAGAAAAAGAATTATGCAAAATGAAACAAGATAACCCAAGCTTGACAGGTGTACAATTAGCGAAGGAATTTGGAAAAAGTGAGCAATCTGTGTCAAACATACTCAAAACGTTTTGAATCTTGATGGTGGTTCTACCATGGCTCAAATTAAGCGTCAAAGAAAGGTTAATTATCCTAATATTGAAGAGCCGATGTCTATGTGGCAATTTGGAATGGATCCTTCAAGTAAAAGCGAAAGAATTTGCCGATCGGTTTGGAATTACCGAATTTAATTATAATGCGTGATTACAAACTTTAAAAGGAGAAACTTCTTCTTCATATCGGCGCAGAGGAGAAATCGACCTTTACAAGATATTCCACGTTACCGAGATGAACTTCAAACCCTTCTTCAGAATTATGAGCTCAAAAATATTTTCAATTGTGATGAATTAGCTCTTTACTGGCGGCTGAGCCAAGCAAGACACTTGCCTACGTTCCTGTTTAGGAACGAAAAAACCAAAAGATCGAATTACTCTTGTAATGCTACTGGCGATGAAAAATTACCTCTTGTCTTTGTTCACAAATACAAAACACCGTGTGCACTTTGTGGCATCGACAAAGCCACTTTCCCTGTCTGGTATTATTGGAATAAAAAAAGGGTGGATGCGGAGAAGCATTTTTAATCATTTTTTACAACGATTTAATAAACAGATAAGGCATGCCCAACGAAATATTAATCTTCTCCTTGACAATGCTTCGTCGCATAATGCAAAATCTTTCTAACATTTATGTACACTTTTTACCGCCCAACACAACGTCTTGCCTTCAACCCATCGATCAAGGAATCGGTTACAGTCTCAAAGTAAATTTCCCATATAAACTTTTACTTTATGAACTGCAATTGAATTAACTTTTATCGTATTTTCCTGTAGGCACAATATCGACGCATTTTATGTCAAAACCGTCTTGATGCTTACGATGCTATTACTGAAGAAAAACCAATTCCCTCTGTCATTACTAATTAACTTTGCAGCTCGTGAATAGGAAATTATTACGGCAAATACAATTATCCATAGCTGGAATAGGGCTAATATTCTTCCTTCAACGGCAAACAATCTTGATTCTACACCCGAGGAAAGTGAATTAGAAACGGAGATTGTCAATCTCATGAACAATTACCAATTGATGGCCCTTTGAAAGCACGAGAATTTGTCGAAATAGATAATTTCATGGGTGTTGAAGAAAGGGTGACTGCAGATGATATCATAGAAGTGATGAACGAACAGGGCGGATGTGAATCAGAAGAGGATAGAGAAATGGAGGTTAAAACCAATGATGCGATTATCGGACTCGATAATGTGGTAAAATATATACAGCAAAACAATTTAGGCATTAGCGCGTCATTAATGAGGGATCTGTAAAGCCTTAAAAAGCTCATTATTATTATATACAAAAGCATCGAAACGAAGAAACAAGCCACGCTGGAGAAATTATCAATTTTATTGTTGATTGATTTTTCTTGCATAAACCGAAGAAGCAGTAATAGAGAGAATTAAGATTGTTAAGACAAGAAACTGATTATTCTCTGCATAAACCGTTAGTTTTTGTTATTTTTGTTTTCTTGAAAAATTGCATTATTTGATATAACGGAGTAGTACATGGGTTTGTTATGATATCCGGTATATTGTGAAAACTCGATTAGCGGATCTCTCGATTTAATGGAGAAAAAGAGTCGGAACCGCTGCCTTCGTTATATCGAGTTTCACTGTGTTTTAATATTAGGCAATTCCTAGCAATTGGTAAGTTTTTTTCGGAACAAATCGGATTTTCACGACGATGTTGAATTTCATCACTTTTGGGTAAATTGAATTATGAACTGTTAAAAGGTTATTTATAGCATTACCAACTTTTATTTAGCTTAAAGTTGTACATTATTGGGTTAGATACAATACCGTTCAAACCGTTCATTGACGTATTCGTCCACTCAAACCGCTGATATATAAGAAGCGCGACTTTCCGATAGAATTCATCATTCTCATTCATGTTCCTTTAATGATCAATTAATATTCCTTTCTAATAAACGAGTAGTTCTTTAAATACATTGTTAATGATTCGTTTCCTGATATAATCATCGGTATAGTTGTGAATTTATTCCGTGGACATTACGATTGTTATTTGCTTAAGATGAGACGTACACTTGATTACCTATAGGTTTCCGAATTAATCCCATCGGAAGGGAATAGTCGACTAACTCGAGAGCGAATAACCGACTAGGATTACTATCTACCGATCGACCCAAGGTCGTGAGTAGTTTACAGGTCACTAACTGTCGTCATATTTAACTACAAGTAGGAAGCCACAACTTTATTTGAAAATGGCTAAATCTCAAGGTCAGCGATCGACTCGACAAACGAATACCATACTCAGTTACCATTAGGATTTTTTCCTATAGTTTCATCTTCATTGAGAATGTAATTAATTTGTTTGCATATTGAATGTTACTTTATGTGGACTAAGACAATAAATCTTATTTACTTGTTGATTAGAATGTGGAGCGTGACTTTTGCACTCAATTGTAACTGTAATGAGCAGTCACATCTATAATCAGCTTTACCTCCCATCACAAGATAATTCCTACCGACTTTCTTTATTCTTCTGCAAGTTTCGTATTTTCGTTGTACTAATTTCTTTCTAACCAGATATTCTTTTTAGTAACAGTAATAGGATCATCTCTGAACAAAATTTTATGTATTATTTTTTATCTGTTGGAAACAAAGTATATTGTTGAAAGTTTACAATACTAAGCGTGATCTAATGTAACACAGTAACCCGCGCAAAGACAAGTCTTTTGTAATCTGGGCTGATTGAGCTGTGGTATGTATACCTCATATATTTTGCTAATAGTAACTTGTACTGTCAGACGAGTTCACGCGCATTTATTTATAGTATTTGTAGTATTGCCCTGATTGTCATCTTCTTTAATAATTTATTGCCTGCTTTAAACCTGTCGAGTTGTCATGTGCACATTTATTTATGCATAATATTAATATGAGTGGCTTAGTCAATGAACTATCACCATTTACATTGTATGCAGACTGTGATGTGCAGGAAATTGCATGCAGTGAATAAACGAAGATATTGTTATAAAACTGGGCCAACTTGAAAACATTCAAGCCAGAATGAAAAAAATGCAACAAACATTAAACCAAACTTTACAGCGAAACCTCCCTGAGTATTGATTGGTTATTCCTGGCCCGCTCATTTCTTAATGAATATCCTAAAGCAGCCAAACCCGCAGTACGGATTCATTGATTAAGACTACCAAGTCTGGAAAGTCACGAGGTTTATCGGCGAAGTAGAATTTACCCGAGTTGGATCTAGCATTTTCATTTAACAAATGGATTTCGATTCAACATAAAGACATAAATAGGACAATGACGACGAAATCAAGGAATGGAATGTTCATGATTGGTGTTGGAGTTGGTATTATCAATGAATTTTAAATTGCCAGTGACTACGGAAACAGGTTATACTCGTTATGGCTTTGGATCCAAGTATTTCCCTCATACAACCATTCTGCCGTTTTTATTATCCGGGGGCGATCAACGGTTTGAATTCTGAAACTTTGATTTAGCATTACGATTACGTTGTTTATTACAGAATTGCGCATCCCGGAGATTTGCACCCTTTGTGTATGTCTGGTGTTACTGCGTGTAAACAATGTATATATTTAGTCGATTTACACAAAACGTACTTTGTATGACTGCCAGAGCCTTCTAGTGATTACAGGATACATTTTTCATGTTTATGTTCTCGAAGACATCATTTCTCCAAGTTGAAGAATCAGATACTCAAACCAGACCGAGATGTATTATTATTGTGGATAACATTCTCATCTGGGTTGCATGCGTGTAATGTAACGATAATCTCGTGTTATTCTTTATCTAGTTACTATTGCACAACATAAAGGCTAATCAGTTTACGGCCACAGATAATTTTTAATTTGCTTGCATACCGGATAGACTTTCTCTTCTCCCGCCCTATTTACTGCGCCAGATAATCATCTCCCGATATAACCGTTATGGTTTAGCCTATTGGTAATAGAAATATGCTACGCAATACACGTAATACACTCCTGCTCATCACATCTACAATTTAGCTCAACTGATGCAATTCAGCCGACCTTATAACCACTGTTTTGGACTAGATGCTCGCTTGTATGTTTGCCCCCCTGTTTGAGTGTATTACTTCCTTGTTCATGTATAAATTATTGAATTGATCTCGAGCCACAGTCCAACATCTAACGCCACACATTGTCCCACTCAGCGTTTATTCTAGCATTAAATACAGTAATAATTAACTAAAAGCGTGAAGACGCGCGATAAATAGGAAATAATTTTGGGTTAAGCAATGTCTGTATTAGTTCAACTTGATCCGATACTTTTCTATTTCTCACTTTCTAATATTCGTCATCAAGCTTATTCTAATGGTTTATCGTTAAATTCTAACAAAGCTACTTAAACCATCTTTCTTGACATGTCGTGCGTGAACTCTCCCACTTTACTGCTGCCTTATGGAGAAGCATAATCTGTGACGACCCGAATTTTGAAACTAGAAAATTTTTATGGTTTCTAAAGACCTAATACTAATACGATTATAAGCAGCCGCTTCATCGAATAGGCACCAACTGATGTCAAAAACCAATTTAACATAAAAGCGGCAGTGATGACATCATCAATCACATTTTTGAAACACCAGCCACAATGCTAGCATTTGATTGTTTGCAATCTGTCCATATAAGAGCCCTTTTGTCCTCTCTGATTTGGTTATTTTACCCAACTCTGGGATTACTATAAGAATTCTACTTAGTTAAATGACGAAGCAGGAGTGATGGCAACTGCACCTTCAACAAATAGTAAAAACCAACACATGAGATCAGCTCCTCTTACGCTCTTGGGGCATAATGGATCGATGGTCTCTGTTATGGAATATCTAAATTTAACAGTGTCGCCATTTTCACTACCGTCTCTAGCCGTCATGTTGATCGTCATGGCAACCT